CCCCCCCCCTCGCACGGCTTTCACAGTCTTGACAGGCGACAATAAGTCGCATAGTCACATCAACATGCCTAGAATGCTTCCATTTCTCGTGTTCAATGTTGCCGCTCTCGTTCTCGTGTAAGATGAGTGCTATTCTACGATGCGGGATTGGTCAGTTTATTGAGGGCTAAGGGTACAAGCAGTTTGTAATTAGATACTCGTCTGTAGTCAATTCTGAAACGTTCTCAAACCCAAGATTCATAATCATAATAAGGCAGGCATATTGTCACGATATCTAGGTACAAATCGCCCCTTACTTCGAGTGTGAAGGATTTGTGGATACAGTGCTTCAGTGTCCCGATTTTGGCCTTTGGTAAAGCCATTGCCTAGCCGGACCTTCAGCCATCCGACGACGCTTGCTTATGAGATGATTTTGGCAAGGCGACCAGCAGCACTGTCAGCGGAACGGCTTGGATCCGACAGCCGTGGCTACGTCAGGTAGATCACAAGGCTAGGCTAATGAAGCAATCAACCAATCGGAAGGTAAACATGCGGATTGTGGAGGTGGCGCAATTTAAGGTTGGGGCCTTGCGTTTTGAGGCTGTGAATTGTATCTGCAGCGCGATCCAGAGCACCCTGGCCCATGTGGGGTTCGCCAAGGCACTAAACGAGGCAGTGAACCCAACATACTGAGAACCCAACAACGTGCGAACCTAACGTACTGCGATCTAAATCTGGAGACATGCACTCCCCAACACCCAGCAAAACTTGAAACGTAGAGCTCTCGGCTGACTTGTTGCCCAGTTGGCAAGAGGCATTCGATTGGATAGTCTTGCATAGCGGAACACTCGGCGTAGCGCTGCTCTGCCGAGTAAGCAAAGACCTGTAAGCATTGCCAGTGTTTCATGCCAACTAGGATGCGTGTTAGCATACTCTTGCTATTGGCTGTCTAACGCACCGTAAATCATCGGACGACTGTATTTATAACCAAGACAAGACTAGGTCAACTATAAAGTCGCGAGGTAAGTCAGCCGATAATCTGTGTGAGCAAAGCAAAGTACAAACTTCACTAGAAAAGTACCCATTCCAATTCAAAAACCTTTCTAAACACTCCACTATGGAGATTATACCTCTGCTACAATCACCACGAGAAGGGAAAATGCACGACACCCCCATAATGACGCCCAATGTCGCTGGGATTTACAATGCCTTTCTCGATGGCAAGAACAGTTCAATTGCCGATAAGGAAGCTGCAATTGAAGTCCAGAAGGCTATGCCTGATGTTCTGAGAGTTGCAGAAGAGAATCGCTCGTTCCTTCGTCGCTGCATAAGGTATATGCTTGGACATGGAATCAAGCAATTTATTGATATTGGCTCTGGCTATATCACTACAGATAATATCCATGAGCTTGCTCAACTGGTCGAACCAACAGCAAAGATTGTATACGTAGACCAAAACCCATCGGTAGTTGAGGAAGGAAGCAAACTTCTCGCTACGAATGGAACAGCCATCATCATCTGCGCCGACATTCGCAAGCCTAACGACGTCTTCAAGCACCCCAATCTCATCGGTTTGATTGACTTCGCAGAACCTGTTGGAATCCTGATGATGTGTGTGGCCTGTTTCTTGACGGATGCAGAGCTTACGCACATCATGTCATCAATTCAATCTACGATATGCGACGATAGCTATGTCGCGATGACACACGACACACTTGATGGCCATCCAACTGAGCGGGAAAACATTGCCCATGTTCAGAAAATCTACAACAAGGCCTCTGTTCCACTTATCTTCCGCAACCGTAAAGAAGTCTTACGAATTTTTCAAGGCTTATGTCTTGTGGAACCAGGAGTCGTCTTCCTCCACAATTGGCGCATTGAGTTGGATCTGCCGGCGCCAGCTGCAGTGGAATGGCTTTACGGTGGCCTAGCAAAGAAGACCTCGTTGCCAGTAGTTCCTGGAGCCAGTCCGCAAATGTACGTCAACCTCATGCAGCTCCGGAAATGTCTCAACACCACTGCGCTCACCTCCACCTCGCTTTTCTTCATCATCTGGTGCTTTATAACATATATGGCGCAGTCATTCTTAGACGTTGGAGTCGTTTCGTTTCAGCAACTGAAGGATATGGCGCTAGAGTAGGTTCGAGAGCTAGTTGAATGCAAGTGTTTCATTGTTTCTTTGAGAATGTAACATCAATATCTGTGCACAATCCAAGCCGCGATCGTGGCTTGCTTGTCCCACGTTTTGTTTCACCGTGTGAAACAATGGCCGATGCGCTCATAGACAACTCAACTCTAAATTGACTACCACTCTCTTGTCTGTGCGATTCTCTACTCGTGAGTGAGCTTTCATTGCCATTTAATTCTCATTCAATGCAATGGCGTATTTTCTGAAGCTTTATTTCATATAAGTTATTGGACTAAAATCTAATGCTCTTCACGGCTCCCCTCTCATCCCTTCTCGAAACTCATAACACAATAGGGGATAGTATGCTAGCTATTACTGCAACACCAGCCAGACCTAGGCTCCAAACTGTGAGTTCACCCACCTCTCCGTGCTCAGCTTGAATCCAGGGCGGCAGCTGCCTGGCTTTGGAGTTTAATATACTCAAGATAACGACGGGTGCGATGAAAAGAACACAACATATCGTTCCCAGTAGAAGCAGAACACTGAATTTCACAATCTTCGATCCCAATATGCTCGACAGAGAGATCAATGGCAGAAACATTGAGCATATTGTCATGGCTGCCATGATAAGCATTAGTGCCAAACCTAGCAGTAGGGAGCCATATATGGCTGTGGGCGTGATTTGCTTCAGGGCACTGCTAAGGGATTCAATGTCGTTCCACTCAGGTTGGAAATACTTCTGCACATCAGTTGGAATCAAGCTGGAGATGTTAAGAGGCAAACTATGGCAGGAAACGCTGTGAGGTAATCCAATGCAAAATTCCTTGGTGCCAAGCGACAAGTTTTGAGGTATCTGCGCTTCGATCGAGCTTGGAATTGCAGTACTTAGGGTACTTGCTGCACTTTGAATTTGGCTTATCGCCGCGGGAATCTCAGTCGCAACTCCAGCAGCGGCACTTTGGATGCCGCCTTGGAGTGATTGAATGATACCTGGCTCGGAGATACGTTTGAACTTGGCCTTCGGGACATGGGCTGCAGAGGCGATACCCGTGACGTTGAACTGTTGCTTCAATTACTAGGAATTTAATGAACTGGAGGAGCTACTTACTTGAAATGTTGCAATTCCGGCTTTGATGTTGTTCTGAGATGTCAAAACTTCCAGGACCAAAGCGGCAGAGCAGAGAAACGTGATTATAAGGACCCAGAGAATGCCGTGTTTAAACCAATGTCGCGCAATCATTTTCCGTATAATAGAGTCAGTACTTTGAAAGAAGCTTGGATGGCAGAGGGTCGCCCAAATATTCTGGGAAGTGGATCTGTTTCATTTATGAGGGGTATAAAAGGATTTGCGCCCAGAGGCCCAAAATCAGGCCCTAACGATAATAATAATGCCATACCCGAATTTAGAACCCCCGCCACTACTGACTACTCCGGAAACTTTATGAGAGTATAGAAATATAGGTTAAGTTATGTACTTAAGCTATTCATAAAGTTTCGGTTTTTTCTACTAGAGTATAAGATTAAAATATCGAGCTTAAGTATAGCTGATAGAGCTTCTATAGACCAATATAATAATAACGCTAAGAGCATCTTACAGATCACTATTATTTTAACTAAGGGCAAGATCTTCAGTAAATTGTTAGAGTATCTTCCATCACTTCTGTAGGTGATACCAGGGGGAGCAATAACAATAGCCGGACTACTTATTATCAGAGTGCTCGTGCCTGGGTCTATCCCGGTGCTACCGTCACCCGAATGTGGTGGAACCGGTGGTGGACTCCCAAATCGGTCCGACCTGTCTCCAAATCACCTAGCTACACTGCCGCGTCATCTACTAATCCCAAAGATCTAACTTTACCAGTTATAACGTTAACTTGCCTTTCATAGAATTGATGAGGCACATAGCCTTTGAAAAGTGGGAGCAATTGAAGAAGGGAATTCCTGACGCACAAGAACTGCAAACTTTTGTGAGGAATAAAGTGTGTCAATTAGAACAATAACATAGCAATTCGATAGTGTCGCTCTCCGGTTGCATATCAGGTCGCCATGCTTTGAACTTGATTAGTGAATGCTTAACTTGAAAACCACCTCACACATAACACCATACTCAGACAACCAAGCCACGAGTCGGACAATTAATCTACCAGCAGAGCAATCGATCAATCAATGAAGGGAAGTACAGGGAAAATGAGTTGAATACTTAAGGTCATTGCTTACCATTATACATCCTGCTTTCTCAGACTCTCTAAATAGGCAGGTAGGATCGTTACACCGGCGCGCAATTTCGGGAAGTAATGCAAGGACTTCATTAAACAAAACTTATATAATATCCTGTTAAAGTGGGATCTTTAAGCATCTTTTTCGTATGCTGGACTATTGTCACGGAACCGCTAGAAGTGATCCACTCAAGTTATCATGTGAGATGAAGAGATGAGATTGTTATCTATCTACCTGGCCGTGTTGTACTAGGATATTGTACAAGGATCAAGACGTTGCATGAAGGAGAAAAAGCTTTGGAATAACTCTTGCTCAAATATATAGAAAGGGAGCCTTGTCCGCATTTCCTAATTAGGATTAGAGGGTCTGGTTGGCTGTCACTGGGTTCAGGCAAGGCAATAGGATGGTGACTAGCACATGTCATGGGGTGACCCCGTGACAACTATAGATAATACTTTGGTTTACGCGGGAAGGCTTTCCAGAATATTAGAGATATATCCAGATGTATTTATCTAGATAATGCTTTAGCTATCTCTCCTGGTGTTATATGTTTCTGGATATGGCCAAAGTCCTTTTTTGCGGTAATAAAATACTCTTTAAAGGTTTCACGGGGTCACCCCTATGACACGTGATAGGCACCATTCTGTTGCCTTATGTAAAGGTGTTGGGGCCGACCAACCCTTAGGAGCTCAGGACACTTGTTGTAAAGGCCGCTCCGTGGTAGGAGATAGGGATATCCTGAGGTTTGAGGGCTTCAGAGCAAGGAGTCAGCTGAGCAGATAAGATAGGTGTGAAGCAGTTGGTGGTATTAGGTAAGTAAGATAAAATATACAAATTGAAACAAGAGGAGCAAAGCAGGCAAAGCAAAGCAGATGAAGCGAAGCAGACAAAGCAGAGCAGACAAAGCAAAGCAGATAAAGCTGGTTTCTCCCCCTCTCCGTTTGTCCTCCACAAGCCATACCCTATCCTTCTTATACTCCCATCATCTCCTAACCCTTGACATCCCTGTCCTCAATCCTACCCTGGCCCCATCTTCATG